CAATTCAACATCCAGCACCCCCGTTTTGGTTTCGCAGAGATCATAAAAAGACATTCGACGTGAACCCGAAAGCGCGGGAAACTGCTTCTCAAGCTATCTCATCCCATTTCTCTGCAACGTGAGCCACAGAGTCACTGGGGTCTCTTCCACCTCGAAGGCGGTCGTCGACCTCCTCGCCTCCAGTGTCTTCGCTGCGTTCGTCGCGGTTTGACGTCCCTTCGTTCGTCGCTTTTCCGGTTTGCGGGGTCGATGAAAGCGAATTCTGTGAATTCGGATTTTCTCAGTCAACCGCTCTGATATGAAAATATTTTATATTTGCATTTTTTTCTCGATGGAATGTTTTTTCTCTTCTGAAACGACGAGAAGAATCTACTCGAAACGTTCCTTGGTACATGTCATTTTCGACGAATTGCGAAATACACCTAGTGGGAAGAGCTATGCCACGATTTTTCCTCTGAGATCAGAGAAATTTTCGTTGAATTTATTTCGAGAAACGTCAAGCAAGTCTACCCAGATACGTTACGCAGTACACAACATATGCATGAATCATTTTCAGGGACCCATTCCACAGAAGATTTACAAGCTACAAATTACAAGTCTATTACTAGCAGAAGCAAGTTTCAGTTCCACAAAAGAAATTTGTACAATGAAGATATACTAGTACAAGTTCATCCATTTACAAGCGAATTGAGTTTGGGAAAATGGATTCTGTTCCACAGAGCCAGATATTTTACAAGTCTATAGACTTGTATTGATACTTGTTGCTCTAAATTTTAGTATTTTCTGCACTCCTGTGTCTAGGAGAAACTATGCATTTTCCTGTTGTGACCATTCCATAGGATAAACTGGACTTAGTTTTAATGTGGTACAATACAGTAGAGTTAGGATTATGTGCTCACGTTACAAAAACTTGAAATAATAAAATCCAGAGCTGCAGGAAATGAAATACTCCAAGTATTGCCAGTTAAAGAAGGATCACAGCAACTTTTCTTGGCCCCGTCTTTAACAGAATTGACTTGAATATAAGTGTGGACTCAGGTGCACTATCAAATGACAGCTTCCCCACTGAGTTTGGCATATTCGATTCTATCTGGAATACATAGACTCTGACTTTCAGGCCAAGAGACAGCATATTCGATTATGCATATCCAGCTCCTCGTTATATGAGATATCCACACGCTTTCATCGATGAAACCTATTTTGGTGTCATTCCACGAGTGCTACTCGATAGAGAACTATGGAATGCACTCAGAACTTGTAATATGTGCAGGCTCCAGTGCCTTGTACTTTTCGATCTACAAGCTCTAGCGCAAACTGTGAAACAGAAAATACAAATACTTGCAAATACAGCCTTGCAACTTGTAACTTGCAGCTTGTAAACATCCCCAACGTGCCAGGAAGCGTCCGAAGCGTCAGAATGCTACCTGTGCATTTTACTGTCGGTAGCTTCCAGCTGGAAGCTGGATGCAAATCCATTTCGAAAATAGTTTAAATGATCGCAATTTCCGAACTGCTGTTGAAAGCCTTCATGCAGGCTCCAGCATGATTTTTTTTTAAATTAAACTTGTTTCGCCAGTGCCAACTACACTATTACATATTGGTTAAATTAATCCGAAACATTCTAAACTTTCATCGTTGACCAAACCAACATGACATTCTTTGCTTCTTTTCATTCAGGAAATAAGAGATGAAATTTATTTGGGAAAAGTAATCATTATTTGATTTAATTTTTTTCATTAAAAGAGACGAGACCATCTACTGTACATATATATGCAGTATTAAGCAATTCACCGAAAAATCGTTTGAAGTTGACAGTGGTCTCATATTGACTGTCGTGGTCCTTGCACAAAAAAATATAACGTGCTAGGTGATTAATTAATTAAAAATTTAATTAGTCGATGCTGCTTTTTTAGCGCTCTCTCTTGGATCGGCCTTGACAGTCTCTTGGATCTCAACGAAGCCCTTTACATCTGATAGCTAATTGATTAATTAATTGATAATTAACACTTTTCCATGAGGGAAAGACTTCCGAAGTGGACCATCCCTCGAATGGCGCATGTGACATGTCAATCGCATGCTCTCGATGAGTACACAGCATTGGTGAATATTTCAGCTGAGAAAGTTGAGGGAAAATTTAGTAATTTTAATGTAGCCACGTTGAACGAAGGGCGAAATTTTCCTTGGAGCAGAAAGCCTTATGCGTGCTGATGAAGTCAAACGACGGGAGAAGTCAAATGCGAGTCAGGAAGGAACTGGGAGGAGATGGAAATCGTCCCCGCCATTCGGCCAAATTTCAAAATACTTTCCCTGGGGGAGCTCGAAGGAGGAGGAGAGGGAGAGGCAATGTTGCGGATGTGAGAATGACTCCGAGAAGCTGCAAGGAAATTCGAAAGTCTTCCTGAAAGGACAGAATCTCCGCATTTTCTCAGTTACTTTTCGGCAATTTTTCGCGCAGAACGTGGTCAGACTTCTCGAAAAATCGCCCGATCATGTTCTCGGTATAATGCCTTTCATTCAGGAGTACAGCAATGAAGATTCTCTTGCCGATGAGCCTGGGAAATCTATGCTGATTTCAATTTAACCCTTGGAGGTTTTTTTTTAGAGTTAGAGATACAGATTCAGGTTTCTCATGGAAAATTTTCAGCTCGCATTCCTGCGACTTCCGGCCGCATTTAGGCGAAGTCGCCGGCATTCGGAGATTGCTGATACGTGAAATAGTTTACCGGCGCGGTTGCGTCATCTCCATCCGCGATAACGGCTGACTCAAAAGTCCGCATTCATTCTCCTCGTCCGTGCTCGCCCAGCGACATCCGCTTTCCTCCCCCGCGAGGCGAAGGTCTTCGTGGCATCGAACGGAAGATGAAGGCCCTCGTGCTCCTCGGGACCGTCTGCGCCTTCCTCATTCCAAGCTGTGAGTACTCAGCGGCGTCAGCACGGGATTTTTCGCGGGAAATCAAAATTCATCTCATAATTGCCACCGCGATCAATTTGGAACTTTTTGCACCTTCTAATTAGTGGCTGTGAAGGTGATCCTAACATCGTATTATTATTAGTAAAATTAATATTAATGAATCTGTAAATTCAAAGATATCATTAATTTTTCCTTCTCATTCGTATTCTTCTTTCCTTCTCGCGGCTCGAAACCTGAAAGAGAAATAGTTAAACCCGAACGGAAATTATTGCGGTTCTCCGTGAGGGACGCGCTTCTTCACTGAGAAATCCTTTTTCTCGGATTTCCAGAATTCGGTGAGCTTGTGCAAACGACCAGGCATTGCCCTGGAAACAACAGGGCGATTACAGGAGACATCCGAGGGCGGCATGCGTCCCTTTTCACTCAACCTCGGAAAATCGAGTCAGCCTTTGTTCTCAATGTTTTTTTGTCCTTTGTCCTACATTCTGCGATGACGTTTTCGCACGCCAATTCGTTGGAATGTAACTTATCCGGATAGTTGCTACGCGGATGGAATTTCCGGAACGAACACTGCATGTGATCGGCCTCGAATAGGGACAAATCGAAACGGAGTTCGTGGAAAGGGCGATGAACCAGGATGAGGGGGGGCAGAGGGGCAGAGGGGCGGGGGGCAGAGGGGCAGAGGGGCAGAGGGGACGAAGAAGCTGCTTGTGCTTATAAAACACCTTTATTATATTAAATAAATTCATTGTGCTAAATAAACAAAATGAACTCAAATTGAGCGGAAATTCCATAACCGCATGCAAATTTTGCACCGGTGAACGACCGAGACCAATCAAAATATGCAGCCAATTACAATGACGTCAGCGAATGACGTCACTCCCGAGGGAATTCCCGTTATCAGCTGGAAATTCGCTGCGATTACAAATGAACGGGACGCGGACGGAGTCTCAGCGAATTGGATTCCAAATTGTCTAATATGATTTTATATAATATCATTTGTCTTATAATATAATTTTACGCAGAAGTGGACAAGGCGTTTTCGGTACCAAAAAAAAAACAGAAAAAAAACCATTCCTCAAAGTTGGAATTTCCGCCGTAACCTTAAAATTTGGAAGTGGCTCGATATAAGAATCAATAACTATTTTATTTATTCGTTTATCAATTCATTATTATTCGTTTATCAAGCCAGATTCTATTGGAATGTGTAAGGTATTATTAAATCGCCGTACCACAGACGTAAATTTTATTGGTACTGGCCTCGAATAAATTCATGAGGGAAGGATTTTCATCACCTGTTTAAAGTCTCACCCGGTAATGCGGTGAAAAATAAGGTGAAAACTATGAATAAGGCCACATTACGTTGCCGAAATATTTTTTTTTTTTTCTTTCTGGAATGAAACGGCGGCGCGTCAAAGCCAACTGACGTCATCGGCGCCGTTATTAAAGAGCCCTTTTGGAGCTTTCCGAGAAGCAGTTTCCCGTGGAGGCTTCTGACGAGCCGATTGGACGAGGCGATCCTGGCGCCATCTCACTTACGTCACGGGTGGCTTGCTTGCCCGGGAAACTGCCAGATGGCGGGTCTGGTGCTCATTTATGTTGCTGCAGTGTTTTGCCTATTGGAATTATCAAGAAGTGCAATTTTGTGTCGCAGTTGCGTTTTTTCGCATGCGATTAATGTTTTGCATTCGTTTGGCAAGCCTTAAGCTAGCCTCATTCGGGAATAAGGTTAGCTTGAGGCTTACCAAACTAGGCAAAAAATTAACCAAATATTCCTTGGAGTTGTGTCCATTTGCTCTTTTGAAAGAAGATTTTGGATTCCAACATGCATTTCTGCTCCAGTATCCGAAAATTGGTAAAAATCCTTGACCTAAAGGAGTTACTCAAATGTGAAGCCCTCGCAGAACAGTCCTATAGGATTCCTATCGAAGGAATTCTGGCCGACAACATTGATATTTTTGGGGCCATTTTTGCAGCATTGGGTCTGAACTGCTTGGCTTGCATCGGAGTGGACTGCGAGAAGAACCCGCGAGAGCTGAAGCAGGAGAACTGCGATCCCCTCATCGTCGTCCCTGGCAAGGAATACTATTGCGGCACCGGCTTCTCCGACGACTCCAGAGGTCAGCTTCTCTTAAGCGGGCTTTTCTTCTCTTAAGCTGCAGAATTCCCCAATGTTTAAAGTCCCCTCGTACCTATTTAAATTCCCTCCTCCCTTTTGCCTCTGCAGAGGAGATCGTGAAGAGGCAATGCGTCCTATACGAGACGGAGGCGGAAGGCTGCATCTCACCCGGCCCCATCTCCGGTGCAAAACTGACCTGCCTTTGCTCCGAGAACTACTGCAACGACTACGTCGTCCGGGCCGCTCCCACCACGAGCACGCGGGACTCCGACAGCAGCAGCACCTCCGCCGTGCGCGTTGCCTTCGTCCTTCTCGTCTCGGGCATCCTGGCCGCGATCGTCTCGGTTTGACGTCCAGTTGGATGTGTTTGACGTCCAGTTGAGTTTGTTTGACGTCCAGTTGGGGGTGTTTGACGTCCTGTTAGGTGTGTTTGACGTCCAGTTGGGTGGGTCTGCCCGTTCCAACCGTTTGCGAACTGGATCAAACGAACACTGCCAAGTAGTCTTCGGAAGCACAATAAATCTGATTCATTTGGAAGTGTGCTCTTGATGGAACTGAATGTTCTCCACCCTCAGGTGCAAACACCTCACCCTTCATCCTCGCCCCTGTTATTCCATAGTCTCCTTTGAGATGTTCATTCTCATCCATCAAGGGTAACGCAACCCTTACCAATTACCGTATTGACAACATACAAAGCTATACAATGCTTCCATGACTGACAATGGCAAACATACATAGATACGATTGCAATATCTAGGAACGTTCTACTTGACGATTTGCGCGTGAAACCGGCATAATTTTATCTTAAAGAAAAACAGTTGCACCATATTATCGTACTTCCGTGAGGGTGAATCTACCTCATAGGGAAGGTCCGAATTTTACGCGAGACTTTTGTTAAGTCATCGCGCCTTATGTCATGAATGCGCCCATACCCGTAGGATCTTATCTCCTCTTAGTACTTTTAGTGCACGCGGCCGATTTTTCGAACACGTCTACTGCTTCCAAGAATGCTGCAGGCTGATTTCTATGCCGTAACAACAAGAACCCCAAATTCACGGAGGAAGAAACCAAACGAAAAACCGCGACCGAAAAAGCGGCTTATAGCTTTTTACTAGAAGTACATGTGGCCAAAAAAAGCCCGCACGGCACTAACAGGGTTAAGGAGATAGATGTTGATAAAATTGATATTAATAATGTTCTCCCCCGGTAACCGACTCTAGGATTTCAAACTCACGCAGGGTTCGTGGGTTTTTGTCGTGGGCTGAATCCCTCTTCTTCCTTCCTTAGGGCCAGTATTGCCTGACGTCCCCTTGGCTGGCTTTCATCTTAAGATAATAACATCTTGGGATTCCAATGCATTCCTCTTTGCTGCATGAGGGAAAAAATCGGATACTGTATTAAAGAAATCTCAGAGGCGTGGCTTCGTTTCTTTACAGGCGACTCCATGAGCTGGCGACTGAGGTGCCACCTAACATCGCTAATGGTAACCTTAAGATGAACGGCCAACTGCTACGATTAATGAAAGCGAAAGAACAGAAGGATGGCTAAAAAGGATGACACTGAAATGCGCTGTCATATCACCGTGTTTCCTATCGGGGCACCTCTTTAATCGGAATATAGTTCCCTAAATTAAAATTTTCCTTCCTTCCGCCTTGCGGCGCGGGACAAGACGGTAGATTTCGTATTCACATCTAATAGCTTACTCAAAGCCAGATTACTGAATAGGCGAACACGCACGATCCTGGGGGAGCCTCAGTTAAAGGGGTGGTGCGTGTTCTGCCTCTAGGCTCCGGAAACCTTAATCCGACCCTTGGTTTGTTGTCGAGCCCGAGTACTCCCTGGGATGATGATTAGCTCGAGGGGGTTATTCCTCCACCAAGACGGGTGAGTAAAGCAGGGCGAGGAGGACCCCAGACTTTCATGTGAAAGAACTTGGCATCCCCTTCGACGGTGCTCACACCTGATAGAGCCTGCACAATATGTGAGTTCCTTTAGGGAGGGGGATGGACGCGGACGAATGAGCATGTGCCTACAGGTTCTTACACACCCGACACTCACCCTTATTATTTGCTAAATTATGCAATGAATTCTACATGCGGGGATGTGTACCGTTTTCACGTGGGGATTGCAGTTGTTTGAGTGGGAATGGTCCAAATAACAGCAATCTCCGAATTGATATTTACAGGTTAAATTTGCCCTCACGTCGCCAATATTGCCATCAAAGTTGGTCTTCACCATGCGACCACAGCCGAAGCTAATAGGCACAGAAAAATTTCAAGACTTTATTGCAGGCATCTAACCTGCATAACTTTCCTGTTTTGTGCGAGTTTTTAATTTCATTTCTCGAATTTGCCGCAGACGGTAAGTCTTTTGAACAAAAAAAAAATTCCGAGAACACACCGAAGAAAAAGCGAGCATCGAAAGCATCACGAAAGAAATGAGCACGGCAACGATCGCTACAAGTGGAGCTGCGAATCCTCTAGAATTCCTTTGGCAGTTTCAAACGAAAAAATACATATTTAGACATGAATTCAGTCCAAATCTTGCGAATATTTTTGTTACATTCAGCAGGGATTCAAATAAAGTATGTGTTAAATTTAGAATATACAGCCTACAAAATAAAATTACTTGAACGCACTCTATAAAAAAAAAAATCCAAACGTCCGATGTTGGCATGATTGTACATACTATGAGAACACTCGGAGATTATTCTCTATTGAAAGTGCATGCTCAGGCTCATGGTCATCTGGAACTTTTTCTTGAATCCGCATCATCCTGCATGGTGGGTGAAATGGGGTTGATGGGAGATTGGAACTTTTAAAATATTCCCTGAAGGAAAACTCAAAGGAACTATGACGAATGTGATCCCCACAACGCGGACTGATTGAAATTTCTCACGAAGTCAGGCCTTTATAGATAACCCTTAGGGAAAAGTCCTTTGGAGAAGGAATTTAAACTCATCCCGTTAGCACATGATTGTTAGGGAGCAAACTAGCTTCGGGGTCCGTGATCATTTTCCGATCCGGGGTTTATCCCGAAGAACGAAAAGTAAATTACTTCCAAGAAGGTTCGAGAAACATCTGGAGCACTGAGAAGAGCCAACGAGCGCATTCCTTTCATTAATCCGCTATGTATCTCGCTCTATCAGTATCCTCTTATCGAGTCCTGTTGGGGAATCAAGAAAAAAATGCAGCAGCGCAGGGATAAGATAAAGCTCAAGCTGATCACTTCTCCGGTATAGCTCATTATAGTCTAATCATTCTTTGTTTGTGTACGCCATGGTTGGGTGTGGGAAAAAGTACCGGAAGACGGCGTCAGACCTGGAGCTGGGATGCCAAAAGGTCTCGGCGAAGATAAAGGCCTCCATTCCTTTTCTCTGTGACGTGACGTTGAAAGTGGAAGATGTTCGCTTCCGTGGCAGTCGCCTCCTCTTGGCCGCCTGGTCACCTTATCTGGAGCGACTCTTTCAAGAATCCTCAGAGAAGGAGATTGCTCTCAATGGCGTCTCCAAGGTGGGTTTTCAGGGTGTTTGGCAATTCATCCACGATACCGAATTTCTCATGGAAGGGGACGAGGGAGCTTTGGCCATCNTGAGGGTGAATCTACCTCATAGGGAAGGTCCGAATTTTACGCGAGACTTTTGTTAAGTCATCGCGCCTTATGTCATGAATGCGCCCATACCCGTAGGATCTTATCTCCTCTTAGTACTTTTAGTGCACGCGGCCGATTTTTCGAACACGTCTACTGCTTCCAAGAATGCTGCAGGCCGATTTCTATGCCGTAACAACAAGAACCCCAAATTCACGGAGGAAGAAACCAAACGAAAAACTGCGACCAAAAAAGCGGCTTATAGCTTTTTACTAGAAGTACATGTGGCCAAAAAAAGGCCGCACGGCACTAACAGGGTTAAGGAGATAGATGTTGATAAAATTGATATTAATAATGTTCTCCCACGGTAACCGACTTTAGGAGTTCAAACTCACGCAGGGTTCGTGGGTTTTTGTCGTGGGCTGAATCCCTCTTCTTCCTTCCTTAGGGCCAGTATTGCCTGACGTCTCCCTTGGCTGGCTTTCATCTTAAGATAATAACATCTTGGGATTCCAATGCATTCCTCTTTGCTGCATGAGGGAAAAAATCGGATACTGTATTAAAGAAATCTCAGAGGCGTGGCTTCGTTTCTTTACAGGCGACTCCATGAGCTGGCGACTGAGGTGCCACCTAACATCGCTAATGGTAACCTTAAGATGAACGACCAACTGCTACGATTAATGAAAGCGAAAGAACAGAAGGATGGCTAAAAAGGATGACACTGAAATGCGCTGTCATATCACCGTGTTTCCTATCGGGGCACCTCTTTAATCGGAATATAGTTCCCTAAATTAAAATTTTCCTTCCTTCCGCCTTGCGGCGCGGGACAAGACGGTAGATTTCGTATTCACATCTAATAGCTTACTCAAAGCCAGATTACTGAATAGGCGAACACGCACGATCCTGGGGGAGCCTCAGTTAAAGGGGTGGTGCGTGTTCTGCCTCTAGGCTCCGGAAACCTTAATCCGACCCTTGGTTTGTTGTCGAGCCCGAGTACTCCCTGGGATGATGATTAGCTCGAGGGGGTTATTCCTCCACCAAGACGGGTGAGTAAAGCAGGGTGAGGAGGACCCCAAACTTGAGCATGTGCCTACAAGTTCTTGCACACCCGACACTCACCCTTATTATTTGCTAAATTATGCAATGAATTCTACATGCGGGGATGTGTACCGTTTTCATGTGGGATTGCAATTGTTTGAGTGGGAATGGTTCAAATAACAGCAATTTCCGAATTTATATTTACAGGTTAAATTTGCCCTCATGTCGCCAATATTGCCATCAAAGCTGGTCTTCACCATGCGACCACAGCCGAAGCTAATAGGCACAGAAACTTTATTACGGGCCTCTAACTTGCATAACTTCCCTGTTTTGTGCGAGTATTTAACTTTATTTCTGGAATTTGCCGTAGACGGTAAGTCTTTTGAACAAAAATAAATTCCGAGAACACACCGAAGAAAAAGCAAGCATCGAAAGCATCACGAAAGAAATGAGCACGGCGACGATCGCTACGAGGGAAGCTGGAATCCACTCCGAGTGGATTCCAGCTCTGCCAAAGGAACTCAAAGCTCCTCTGCCAAAGGAACTCGACGAGTTCCTTTGGCAGTTCCTTTGGCAAACGAAAAATAAAGATTTAGACATGAATTCAGTCCATATCTTGCGAATATTTTTGCTACATTCAGCAGGGATTCGAAGAAAGTATATGTTGAATCAAGAATATACAGCCTACAAAAATAAAATTACTTGAACGCCCTCTGTAAAAAAAAATCCAAACGTCCGATGTTGGCATGATTGTATTGATACATACTATAAGAACAATCTAAGGTTATTCTCTATTGAAAGTGCATGGTTATCTGAAACTTCTTGAATCCGCATCATCCTGCATGGTGAGTGAAATGGGGTTGATGGAAGATTGGTACTTTAAAAATATTCCCTGAAGGAAAACTCAAGGGACGTGATGCCCACAACGCGGACTGATTGAAATTTCCCACGAAGTCAGGCCTTTATAGCTGATAACACTGGGGGAAAAGTCCCCCGAAGAAGGAATTTAAACTCATCCCGTTAGCACATGATTGTTAGGGACCAAGCCAGCTTCGAGGTTCGTGATCATTTTCCGATCCGGGGTTTATCCCGAAGAACGAAAAGTAAATTACTTCCAAGAAGGTTCGAGAAACATCTGGAGCACTAAGAAGAGCCAACGAGCGCATTCCTTTCATTAATCCGCTATGCATCTCGCTCTATCAGTATCCTCTTATCGAGTCCTGTTGGGGAATTAAGGAAACAATGCAGCAGCGCAGGGACAAGATAAAGCTCAAGCTGATCACTTCTCCGGTATAGCTCATTTTAGTCTAATCATTCTTTGTTTGTGTACGCCATGGTTGGGAGTGGGAAAAAGTACCGGAAGACGGCGTCAGACCTGGAGTTGGGATGCCAAAAGGTCTCGGCGAAGATAAAGGCCTCCCTTCCTTTTCTCTGTGACGTCACATTGAAAGTGGAAGATGTTCTCTTCAGTGGCAGTCGCCTCCTCTTGGCCGCCTGGTCTCCCTATCTGGAGCGACTCTTTCAAGAATCCT